CCTTTGATCCTGCCTTCTCTTCTGTAAAGTAGGGAAAGCAACAGGCACTTAATGACATGGGGTGGTTGTAAGCATGAAGTGAAATGGCACTGTGTACAATGCTGGCACCTCGTACTTAGGATATGTTGGCAGCTACAGTATTATAGATAACTCTGTGAGTACTATGTACTGTGCACTGCATAGTAAGAACTTAGTACATGTTGGCAACAACCGTTAATAATGTTATTATCTCCAGGAGCAAGAAGAGTTAAAGCAAATAAAGACATTATTCTTTATCTTGGCCTCAGGATAAAAAGCTTAGATCTCGTAATTCATTATATCCACCACCACCACCACCACCACCACCCTTTTCAGTAAAGGTAAAAGTCTCAGAGAGGTTGAGTGGCCTGCTCAGGGACAAAATGCTAGTTTATAAGAAGAGCCAAGTAGCATCCTTGGATCTCGGGCCTTCTTAGGAGCTTATGCCTAGGACTTTCGCCATTTGACCTAGTCTTCCTCGACTCTAACTCATTCTTTGTCCTTTGGAAAAGCACTTCACACTGTGCCTCAATCTTCTCAGTGATAAACTGGTGGGAAGGGCTGTAACAGTCAGGATATGTATTGATAGCTGCTGTAACAAACAGTCCTCTCGTCAGTGATTTAACATCATGGGTCAGTGATATTGGAGAGCTTTGTGCAGTTATTCTGGGCTCTAGCCTGCTGCCATCTTGACTCGGTCTCCTCTAAAACTGCGTCATCAGTCTTCTCTGGTTTCTAAAAAATGAGTCATTAGATGGGGGAAAAAAGAGAACACAGAAGGTACACTGCACTGATCCGTCTCAGGCCAAGGTAACAGACGTCACTTCCATCAACATTCCACACAAGAGCCAGTGATGGAGCACCGGCTAGGTATGAGGGACTGGGAAGTAAGGTCCAACTGCACCTCAAGAGAAAAGATACCCCCAAGCCCCTGTGACTTGAGCCATCCCCTGCCTCTCAGATCAAACAGCTTCTGTGACCTTCTCTGGCTCCACTGGAGCAGTCTGGACTCTGCAGAGTCTGGCCCTGTCTGCAGCCCAGACCCTCTTCCCTGAGCTCTGAAATTCCTACCTCCCAGCAGGAAAAGAAGCCTTCCCTGCCAAGCCTCCTTGAGGGTGGGTGGCTGGTGAGATAATGATCTTACCACGCTTATTGCCTCTTGGAAGGCAGGTGCTGGAAGAAAACCAAGTCCCTCTGATTTTTCTCCCTGTTCCCTTCACATTCCTTCCCAGGATAAATTTAACCAGTGGAGCCTAGGATGCCAACTTCTTGTTCTCTGAGTCCATGTCAGAGCGTTTGTCATGGATGCAGCCTCAGGCTTTATGTGAAGGCTGCAGGACCACAAGACAACCCCTGCCCTACCTCAAGCATCTGTGATCCATCCCCTCTCCCCTTGCCCAGTTGCCATGAGTACATCTCTGTGACAAGCATCTTCAGTTCTCCAGTGGTGTGAGAAAGTAGAATTTAGAAGGGCTCTAAGACCTTGCACTGGGATGCCTGCATTCTTAACAGCTAGCTAAAGACAGATGGTTGAGAGATTCCAAGTTTGGGCTGTGGAGTCATAGAATCAGAAGTCATCAGAATCCTGACTCAAGCAAGTTACCTGCTCTTCTCTCTCATCCATAAAATGGGTCAACAACAGTGCATTATTCATGAGGTTAACTGAGGTATTCTGAATATGTTTCTGGGACTTTATATATAAATAGTGGGTGTTGAGATGGTCATGGTCTGTCTGGTCTACATACCCTCAAGGCAGCCTGAAAGCCATAGGTTTCTGAAATCTTCTGTCCATTTCAAATACTTCTTTGAGATATCCCTGGAGGTCGCCTTGAAGATCCAGGCTCTTGGGTCTCAGCATGGATGTAGAACTGTTACCCTTCCTGCAGTCCATTCCATCCTCCTGCTGCTGCATTGGAATTCTCTCTGCTTTGCTTTGACCTGTAGAGAGTTCTCCCCCTGTTACCCAGACATTACTTACCAGATTTAAAGATAGTCTCATTCATCACACATTTTTCTTGACCTCCAAGCCTTCCTATCTACCTGATCAGGGGCTGTTCTTCCTTCGGCATCCTCTTGTGTCACTGTCATTTTTTTCTGGGTCTCACTCTCTGGAGAAGACTCTCCTGCCTTCCCTCACTCTGTCCCTTCAACTTCAGAGCCCACAGGAAACACCTTGCATCTGGCACCCAAGAATGCTTCCACTGAATGGTTCTCAGCCTTACTTCATGGCAGGTTCAGCACCCAGGCCTTGCCCAGACACCGGTAGAGGAAGAAGTCTGCTACCTAAACTTTCCTGTACTGCTTCTGATGGCTGAAGTATCTGGGCCTGAACTTCCTCATCTGGAAAGTGGGGCAGTTAGGGTAGGTGTTCCAAAGGAACATGCATGGCCTCAAAAGGTGTGATTACATGACGAAACATTGCACAAGGCTATACATGGGACAAGAGGAGCCAACCTATGTAGGTGGAGTTTTCCCATCTTGGGAACCACTTCCAAATTACCACACAGAGGCTTATGTTGATTGTAAATGCTCAGCCAATAGCTCAGGCTTATTACTAAGTTTTACTTTTAAATTAACCCATTTCTATTAATCTTTGTTTTGCCACGTGGCTCATGGCTTTACCTGTCCTCTAGCACATCTTGTTCCCCTCTGTGGCTGGGTAGCATCTCCAACTCCACCCTCCCTCATCCCATCATTCTCAGTTTGGGTTTCCCACTTAACTTTATCCTGTTAAGTTATTGGTCAGTCAGCTTGTTTATTGAACCAATCATAGTGACATATAGTCACACAGTGTACAAAAGGAATATTTCTCAGCAAACCTTGGTTGGTGGTGAAGGACCCCAAGGCTGGCTGCCCATGGAAGCTGTTATCCCAGGGCTGGCATGAGCAAGCAAAGGGAGAAATCATGAACTCTAGATCAAGCCGAATCTGCTCTGTAAGTCCTCGGCCTGTGTGGGATCTAAGCCACTGCTGGAGGCTAAGCAGACTGAACACCCATCCTTTCCACTCTCCTGTTGGTACTTCCTTTGGACGAACCCACCTAAAAGCCAAGCAGACTGCTTAGCAGAAGCAGCAAGAGACAGACTACCCAGGCCAGAGCTGGACAGAGAAAGATGGTGTCCAATGGAAAGAATGTCTGTTGTAGGATGTTAGTAGTACCCAGAGTCGGCTCAGTGAGTATTCACCGGCTGCTGCTAACAGAGCTTTGATAGGACAGGAGCACCCCTATCTTTATAGACATGGAAGCTGACACCCTGGGGGCTAAGAAACATTAAAGGCTACACCATTTGCAGGTGATAACCATAGCATCTAGACTCATTTCTACCTGAGTCTATAGAGTACCCCAAAGGCAGCCAGAGCAGTGGCCAGCATTTTCACCCTGCCTTCCTGCCACACCTGTGGTTCTCCAGCTCTGATCCTCTTAGGCTGCACACTGCCTCTCCCAGTGTCCAGGTTCAAATGTGAATGTCCCTGGGAGAGAGATGCCACCTCAACCATTGCATTCAGAGAACAAAGTCAACACTGGATGAGAGCAACTTTGACTTTACATGTACAACTTTCTAGACTCTTTTATTTCCATCACTACACTTAATCCTAACATCAGGAACCCACTTTACAGCAGTGGGATTTTGCTCAGAGAGATTATACTGTGCTGATGTTAGAGGTTGGCCTGTGATAGGCAGAACCATACAGGGAGAAGTGCATTTGATTCAGAGTCCAAACAGTCAATGCAATTCCAACCCCAAGCCCAGCACTTAAGATCTACAAAGCCACAGGCAGGTGCCCTCCCTCCCATAGGCATCTGCAAATCGGGGTGTGAATGCCACCTTCTGTGTGGGCATCACCTGAGTCTGGGAAGAGTGAAATGTGATCACTCCTATAAGCCCCCTGCTCATCACAAGGCACCCAGCAGCCAAAGCTGAGGAACAAAAGGCAAAGCAAAGGACTTGGGCAGATGTAGTGCTGAGTTTTCCGCACTACAGTGCGGAATCATTCACCCCCTCCCTATTGGGTGAATCATTTAACCTCGCAGAGCCCCAGAAAATATGAAAGTCACTTCCCTCTGCCATGGGATGGAGGTAAAGGTAAAATGAGGTGAGGTATGAATTAAACTCTTCTCAGTTACTGTTAAACTTATTTCTTCAGCAAATAACAATGGCCAACACCAGTATGTTTCCTGTGTCTATGGCTGTTCTACCACACTGACACGTGTTTTCAATTCTCATGGCAACCACATAGAGCAGGACTGTTTTATCATTGCCATTCAAGATGTGGCTACTGAGTCTCAGAAATGTTAAGTGGCTGCTACACGGTTTTGAGTCAGGCTTTGAGCCCAGCAAGGTTAAAGTCCTACCCAAGCAAGTAGAACTAAAGAAGCCTGGGGCTGGTTGTGGTCAGCTGTAGTTCAAGCTTTCACAAACATAAAACTCATGGGGAGAGAGGTTTTCAGAGATGTGTCAGTGGGTAAAGCGCTTGCTGCTCAAGCGTAGTGGCCTGGGCTCCATCCCCAGCAGTCACATTTTTAAAAGCCACACATGTGTGTAATCCCAGCGCTGAGACAGTGGAGATGAGGGCTTTCCAGGCTCTCATTAACCAGCCCATCTAGCCAACTGATGAGCTCAGGTTTAGTGAGAAACCCTCCCAATGATAAGGTGGAAGGCAATCAAAGAAGACATCTGATGTTGACCTCAAGGTACACACAAGCATAGGCCATTACATTCACAGTCATGGGCTCACTTGCACGCATGCACACACACACACACACACACACACACTACTCACCAACAAAGATGCTGATTCTGTAAGTTCTAGGTATGACCCCAGAATCTTTTTTTGAAGTCTCCGTATCAGTGCGGGAAGAACTATGACAGGCATCTTACCAACTGTCAACTGTTTGATTAATGACTATTGAGGGCTAGAGAACCCTAAGAGTTCAGACAAGAGAGTTCATAAGCAGACCTGTTTTCACCTCTTGCCTCCAGGTTTGCCAAATACTACAAGATGGAGAATGGCAGCGAGTACCGCACACTCCTGAAGGCTTTTGGCATCCGCTTTGATGTGCTGGTGTATGGGAACGTGAGTCCTGGGGATCCAGCATATGAGGGGACAAGGGAGGTTTCCCATGCCCACACTTGGGCCTTGAAGAGGCCATCAGGGGCTGGGGTCTTCCCCTGGCCAACTGGTCACCTCCCCCATCAGCTCCTTATACTATATAGAGTGGAACTGTCAGACTACCTGTAAACCCTTCAGGTTCTACTGCCTCTCTAACAGGAACCCAAGTTTAACCTCAGCCCTCACCCCCTCCCTATTGGATGCTCTGTCTACATGTCTTTCTCCTTATACATACAGGCTGGCAAGTTCAACATCATCCCTACCATCATCAGCTCCGTGGCTGCCTTCACTTCTGTGGGAGTGGTAAGTCCAGTCTTTCCAGGCTCTTACAGGGCTGTTGGGGTGGGGCCCAGCCAGGCATGATACTGTCCAACAGCTCAGCTAAGCCCTCCCTCTGGCCTCCAACACCTGCTGGTAGCCAGGTGTTGGGCATCTGGTAGCCCTGGTTTGGGCATGTCCCATCATTACTTCCCAAGGCCCATGGGCTCCAGAGACTGCCTTCCCCCTTTTTCAGGTAGTTCTGTCTTATAAAAAAGAATTCCTGCATCCCATCATGAAGGGAGGGGAGACTCCATGTTTCCACAGTCCTAAGATGTCTTAGAGAGGAACAGAGCCACCAGGCAAGGTGGGGACAAAGGCCTACTGCCAGGGACTGCTCCCCAGCTCCCTCTGCTTCTCCCTTCACACTCTCTATGCTAGTGAGCCAAGGGCATTTCTCAGTGGCTAGAAGGAGGGCCATCGAGGACCCTGAAGAGCCTCTGGCAATTTTCTGAGAAGAGCGGTACAGTCAGACTCAACCCCTTCGTGTCCGACCCTCCATGCTTCAGCCACCTGTCTGCTGAAGGTAGTCCTGGCCAAGAATTGGGCAGCGCAGGGACCATTTGAGCCCTGCCCATGTCAGAGTAGCTGTTTGAGCCTGCACTGCCCCTCTTCCTCCTCCAGGGGACTGTTCTCTGTGACATCATCCTGCTCAATTTCCTCAAAGGGGCTGATCACTACAAAGCCAGGAAGTTTGAGGAGGTGAGTTGGGGGAAAGAGACTGAAGAGCAAAGGAAGCAGGGCAAGGAGGGCTGCTGGACCCTGGGGACGCTCAATGGCTTAGTGCCCACGGTGTTCTGAACTCAAGTTCAGTGGGCCTCTATTAGTATGTGGGGTCCAAGAGAGGATTGGGCCAAGAATGGACTCTGGAGATTTCAGGCTGGGTGAGGCTCAGGGGTCTGGTGCTTACCTAGCATGCACAATGACACCAGCCCTTCCCTTACAAGAAAAAAATTGGGAGGGGGCAGTTCTGTGGGTAATTGTCAACCTACGCATCACTCACTGACACTTGTCCATGCCTGGGGCTGGACAGACCCTGCCTGGAGATGGCTTGGATTACAGTTTTCCCATGGGGTGCAGGCACAGTCCTGGGCTCTCAGAGACTTACTCTACCTCCTCTAATGACCAGGCAGCCACACCCCACCCCGCTGCTGATTCTGTCAAATGGGTCACATTGGAAGATTGTGCCCCACATCAAACATGACAGTGCCAACTCTTGTGCTTGCAGGTGAATGAGACTACACTGAAGGGCACTGCCTCTACCAACCCAGTGTTCCCCAGTGACCAGGCCACTGTGGAGAAACAGTCCACGGACTCCGGCGCCTACTCCATCGGCCACTAGGGCCTCTTCCCAGGGTCCCATGCTCACCCTTAGGCTGCAGAGCCTCCAATGGGCCGCTCTGTCTGGGCAAATGGGGGGTGGGATGGGGGGGGAGAGGGACTCTCATTTCTGCTGCTCACCTGAAAGACCACAGGCAGGTATCTAGGCCCTCACTGTTCAGCAGACAGGTAATACTTCCCACTAAGATCTGAATCTTGCTTTTCCCCTTGCATGCCTCCCATCTGCTTCCCAGGGTCCTGGGGCAGCAGTATCCGTCCCTTTGCAAAGGATAGAGAAAATAGTTGCTAGGGTAACACCCATAGAGGCCTAACAAGTACCAGGCACTTCCATACACATTATCTCATTGAGCCCTTAAAATAATCCTATAGGATATGTTTCTGATTTTTGTTTTTGAAGAAAAGCAAAGGCTCAGGGAGACTGAGTCATTGCCCTAGGCCATGTGTTCAGAAAATGGGAATTATACACAGGTCTAACTCCTTTGCCCACATCTGTGAGGGAAGAATGAACTCCCTAGGCATGTGCCCTTTGTGTCAGTTGCCTTTCCCTGCCTTTCCCATGACTAGCAACAGTGGGCTTTCTTAGGAGTGCAGGCCCTACCTTAGGGGAGCCCAGTGAGATGGAATATAAACTCTCATTTCTGACTTGGCCAAGTCCAGCTTCAGAAGGAAATAGGAGGTATGTCTGTCAGTGAATTTTTCCTTGCCTCACCCCATATCTCAAGCCCAAGCCGAGGAATAGACCTTTATTCTCCAGTTAAGCTCTCACACACCTGGACCCTCACTCCAGAATCCAGATAGAATACACACAGAATACACACACACACACACACACACACACACACACACACCACAACAGGTGAGAAGTGAATTCTAAACCTAGCATGCCCCAGGACATCAGCTGTCCTTGTTTAAACATTGTTGGAAAAGCCTCAGTTAGGGGCTAGGGATGTAGTGTTTGGTATAGTGTTTGTTTAGCATGTATAAAGAAAGCTCTAGGGTCAACCTCTAGCACTATATACACCAGGTATGGTAGCACACACCCATAATCCCAGCACCCAGGAACCCAGGAGGTGGAGATGGGGTCCAGCCTGGGACCCACAAAAATGCCTCAAAAAAAGGAAGTGAGGATGCCCAATGAAATCCAATACCCTGTAAGCATTCAGCCAGGTCAGCCGGGCCAGTTCAATGTGATCCTAACAGGTGATGAGTTAGAAGTGGGGTACCTCTGAAATCATCATGTCAAACCCTCTTGCTTACAGATCATCAACACTGAGTCCAAAGGGAAAATGGCTTGTCTTGTGCCTTAGTGAGGGGACAAGAGAGAACACAAGTGTCCTGTTCTCAGAACAGAAGTTAAGTCTACCTTGTCTCCATTGGCTCAGATGTCCTATCTTCTTTCTGGGCTTTTAAAGAAAAGGGGAGAGGGAGAGGAAGCCCTAAATCACAGGGGTCAAAGCTCAGAAACAGATCAGGGTTTGAGGAAGATGCAATTTGAGAGGTTTTTGTTTGGTTTGGTTTGGTTTGGTTTGGTTGGTTGGTTGGTTGTTTTTTGATGAAAAGACTTTGCCATGTATCCCTGGCTGGTCTCAACCTTTCCCCAGTGTTGAGATTTACCGGCAAGTGCTATCATCCAGCTGGGGGCATCTGTTTAAAAAGAACACAGAATTAGGTATCAGAGAGGTTCATGCAAGTGAGTGGGCCTGAGGTTTAAGTTTCCTTAGTGTCAGGGCCAGTCTCCACTGGGAACATGGGTGTGATGATGAGGTCTTAGCAGAGTTAAGCATACATGTAGACAGAGGGCTGGCCCCTCACCAGAAGGTACAGAGAGATGAGGGGAAGGGGTAGTCTGGAGTACTTTGGGGAGGCTTCTACAGGAGTGCTTGAACAGACACAGCCCCAATGACCCCCACCCTGGGGGAGAAGGAGTAAAAGTCCTCCCACCAGGTTCATCAGTCCTTCCCTCACTCTGCTTGCTCACACCCCTGTCGCTACGGGCAATGGGATACTGTCTCCCCAGCACCCACATCAGGTCCTGGGTAGTATCAGGAGACCTGGCCAGGCTTCATCTCTCCAGCAGAGACATCAGTTAGGGAAACAGCACATCTTCCAATAAGGAGGCACACAACCCACTTTGAGCTAAGACTGAGTTCACAGAGATGCTTCCCAGGAGATGGAGGCATTATGTCCTGGAAGGCAATGGTACCCCAGACTAGGACAATCCTCCCCCAGGGGCCTTAGCCTCTTCTGGACCTTCCAGTAAGTGTGTAAACCCCATTCTCTACTCCCTTTGTCTGAATCAAGTCGTAGGTGTAGGCTAATAGCAGAAATTACAACAGCCAGCTTATATCTGATACACTGTGGTTTACTCAGCGCCGTCACCAACATGGCCACACGGGCCCTGACCACACCTGGGGAGGTTTCTGTGGTTTGTTATTAATTTTATTTGGTAGAAAAACAAATAGACAGTTCTTGGAACTAGAGCTGGAAGCTGTGTTCACTCTCAAGGCTACATTGCTCAGCGTACAAGCTGTCGGTCAGTGGTGGAGTGGCTCTCCATTGGCAAGCTGTGGCCCAAATGTATGACAGGCATTGCCCAATTCAATCTTCATTTTACTAAAGAAACTGAGGCAGAGTAAAATGAAGAGATTGAAGGCAAACTGACTTGAACTAAGAGATTTGTGATGCTGGAGTATAAGTTGTCAACTTCTGTGGTATATCCATTGGGGGAAATTCAGGAAATTTGTTGACTCATCTTTGATCTATATATGTTACCTAGGCCAAGCAACATCTTGCTGTGGTAACTAGTGAAATCTAAGTGAAGTAGCTAGGCAGGATGAGACACACAGACTCGCCGTGGCAGGCAGATGAAGAGCTGGAGAATTGTAAGAATCATTTGGTGCCCAGGCCTGCACTGGCCAGAAGCAGGAACAAGTTACAGCGCCAACTTACTGATGGAATACCAATGAAGAGGACACTGTGACACAGCAATCTGTTTTCCTTCCTCCTCCCAGGTCCCCGCCATACCCTGACATCCCATACCCTTTCCTTCTGTGTTCCTTCTCACAACACCTTGTTCTCAGCACATCACCAGTCAGCCTCCTGGGGGATAGTAACTGGTAAAGTTCTGGGGACTGTCTTCTCACCATCATTTGCCTTTTAGTCAAGAGCTAAGTGAGAGTCGAAGGCTTTAAATAACCAGCACAGTTGCTACATAAGGGCAGAGTGAGGTACTCAGAAACAGGACCAGAGACTTGAGGAGCCTTCCAAGACCTTAGTGTGCCCTAAGGAAGCTTTAGTTGGAGAAGCTTGTCATCATTGTGTTTGTCATGCCCACCCCACCCCCCACCTCCCGACCCCTGCCTGTGACTCTGATCATCAGGATTTTGGGCTGCTTAGTTAGATGCCATTCTCTGTCAGGGAAAGAGAGGAGGCAGCGAGACAGAGTGAATGCATCAGGAGTTTGATGTACCCTGAAATGTCTTCCTTACTGCTCATCCTCCCACCCCGGCAACAATCCCACTTTCTCTTTAGAGGCATTGAGTCAAGAGTCCACTTACTGCAGTGTTTGATGCAGGGACCTACATGGCATGGCACCCACTCCCAGGCAGCTCCACCTCTTGACAGGGTGCTATGCCATGATTAGGAGCTGAGGGAACAATCCCTCTGCCAAGACAGACCTGGGCATCCACCATCAATGAGGTGCTATGGGTGCCAGGGCCTATTCATCCATGGCCAAAGACCTCCATGTTCCAAAGGCTTATATATACTGTTTCTCCTCAACCCGCTGTCTAGGACTCTGCCCCATCCCTGTCCCATCCAGTAGCCATAGAGATAAAATATGTGGGATACCAATATTTTTGCTCCTGAAGCCATATTGCATCAGATGCATATATAAACATAAAACTGTACAGTCACACACTGACACATATACATGTCTATGACCAAAGACACAGGTAAATCTACATGTATGTGTGCAGAGACTTGGGTACATAAAGGTGTAAAGTTACACAAACACATCTATAGACAAGTTTCCACAAATATGCAGAGGTGCAAAAGTGTGCACACAACATACCAGTACAAACACATGTGTTCACACACACACACACCTATGTAGGTTCACAAACAGATATGCACATCTGTGCATACACAAAAATACAAGTGTGCACATTTATAAGTACATGCACAAATTCTCTCACTATAAGCACACACACGTACAATTTGAGGTTCTCTCTATACTCTTTTAATACCCAGCCTCAACTCTGAATTTCCTGTTCTGTCTACTCCAAATCCTTTTTTGAAAAATCCTTCTAGCCCAGTGTCCCAGCTGGCATACAGTTAAAAGTAACAATGATATTTCCCCTCAGTCTCTCCAGGTCTGAGAAAGTGAGTGAAGGAACGCTGATGCCCAAGTTAACAAAACTAAGGGTGGGATCAATGCTGTTGCCAGTCTCTTGCCTTTGGCTTCTGAGTGCAGGACAGATCCCTTTAAAACTGTGGCCTCTTTACAGAAATGGTGGGTGATAAAGGAGAAGAGGGACACCCTCTCTCAAGAGGGGGCTGGGAGAATTGGAAATGAGAGTCATTGCCAGATGCCCAAAAGCATTTCATTAGAGGAACAGACTTCTCGAAAAGAGGGTTTTCAGGTGCAGCCACTAGGATCACTGACTGCTCTTCCAAGCACCCACATGGCAGCTCACAACTATCCATAACGCCAAGATCTGACACCCTCACACAGATATACATGTAGGCAAAACACCAATGCAAATAAAGTATAAATTTAAAAAAAGAGGGCTTTCACCCCATGCCCTCAGGGTCCCCCCACATTCAATCTCAATATTGCATACCAGCTCTTGAGTAAGTCCCTTCTGTTCCATTTTGGAAAGCCACTCAACTCCTCAGAATGATGCCCAGCCAAGGCAGGGCCAGCTTCCCAGCAGACAGATCTTCTCTGCTTTCCTCACACTGGATAGAAAGGTGGATTCAGAGCCCATGAAGAAGAGACTGCAGAGATCATTGCTCAGCTTCCGGGTGACGCGGTGCTGCCACCACTCAATGCCCCAAGCTCTGTCACTGCTCCCCACCCCATCTTTCACTTCCAGGATTTTCACAGCAAGCAGGAATCTCCAAGAAAGGACAGTGATGAAACAAGACTTATTGGGCATGGTGGCGCACACCTTTAATACCAGCACTCGGGAGGCAGAGGCAGGCGATTCTCTGTGAGTTCGAGGCCATCCTGGTCTACAGAGCAAGTTCCAGGAAGGAAAGAAAGAAACAAGATTTAGGGGATGGAGTGGGAAGCGTGACTTTATGACCAGGAGAGACAGGGAACAGAACTAAATGCCAAAGGATGGGATGACTGCAGCCAGGGCCGGAGGTTCCAAGGTAGGGTCTCCCTCCAGCTTAGAAGGAGCAGATGAAAGGCAGGCGACTTTTGCATGAAGCTCTTCGCCAATGGCCCCCTGCAGCAGAGAACACAGTGATATAAACTGACTGGGGTCTGCATTGAGTTCCACCCCACCCTCATCAAGCGCCTCTATATCCCCTTTCATGGCTATCATCATCTTCATAGGAGGAGATTTCTGACAATAACTTGTCATGTCATAGCTGTTAGGCAGCAAGGGCATGCGAATCACAGCCCTCTTGCTCTAGTATACATTCAGCCACTACACTAAAAGTGCCTCACATCTGCCACGCATGCTGTTCCTCACATCTGCAGCTGGAAGCTAGCATCCTAACGCAGCCATCACCAGTTTCTACATCCACAGCTTCCATCACATCTGCTGGTCTCGCTGATCACTTAAGTCATTCAGGTTTGCCAACCTGGTATTGGAGAAGGCAAAGGGCTCCTAGCTACTCCCTCTACAAGGTATCCCATCATCTGGCCTTGTCCTGAGAAGTCTACCCCTCAGCCCTCCCCCCAGACCAAGTTTGAGTTCTCCATGTGGAGTGAGTAGGTTTGAAGAGGTGTGTCCAGGAAGCTCAAAGGAACGGCAGCCAAACGTCTACTTTATCAATGCATCCCCTTGTCTGGAGCCTATTCTCTTACCTGTGGAGCATAGAGTCACACAGTGCCCTCCACCATTCCCAGGCTGCCCTGGGGCCCAGTATCCAAAATCCCAGCAGCTCCCGTCAGTCCACCTAAACTTCTTCCAGAAGAACTAGAGAAGAAAGAAAGTGGATCGGAGAACCAAAGAAGGCAGGAAGATCCAAGCCACTGCTACTCCTCTCACTGCCTGCCTGGAGAGAAGCCAGCTGCTCTCACCTCCCATCTCTCGGTGTTTGCATGGGACGTAATGGAAAATAGCCCCATTGCTCCCAGACACCACACAGGGCAGATGTCCCCAACTGTACTGATCTTACTAACATGCAGGTTTAGATTCAGGAATTCAGGCAGGGGGCCCATTATTCTGCATCTCTAGCAAGCTACCCTGTGATGCTGATGGTGACGACCCATGGACCACTCCTCTAGTACTAAGCATAATTCATTCATCTACAAACTTAGAATTACCACTGTAGAGAGAGATCCCTGTTTTATAGCTGAAGAAAAACCAAGGATCTGAGAACTCTCCTCAGCTAGTAAACAACTGAGATGAGCCCTGAGTCAGTCTCCTGGAATCTGTCTCCTCAATTCAGTTTTGTACAATCACATGTTCCAGAAACCCAGCTCTGAGGACTGGAGAGATGACTCAGTTAGTAAAGGGCTTGCCTGAGTTCAATCTCTAACATTACATTAAAAAGCCAGGCATGCTCTAATATCACTTGTAACATCAGTGTTAGGTACCAAAGATAAAAGGATTCCTTTGGGGCTTGTGGTCAGCCAGCCTAGCTGATCAGAGAGCACCAGGTCCCAGTGAGAGACTCTTAAAAAAGTAAACTAGGCTGGGCATTGGTGATGCACGCCTTTAATCCCAGCAATTGGGAGGCAGAGGCAGGCGGATCTCTGAGTTCGAGGCCAGCCTGGTCTCCAGAGCGAGTGCCAGGATAGGCTCCAAAGCTACACAGAGAAACCATATCTCGAAAAAAAAAAAAGTCAACTAGATATCTCCTAAAGAATGACACCTGAGTTGGCCTATGGTCTCCACATTCAGGTATATACAGAAAACATGCGCTGCGTGTGCACTCTCTCTCTCCCTCACCATCCCTCCCTCCCTCTCCCCTCCCCTCTCTCTCTCTCTCAGGAATGATGAGAGAGAAGGAAGAAGGAACCCTTACTGTAACATGTTCTAAGTTTAATCTGAAGTTCCCCCCAAATACCATGTGTTAAAGACTGTGTCCCCCAACTCATGACAGAACTGGACGTTAGTACTCTTAGGAGGTAGAGTTTACTTAGAGAAAGTGAGGTCATCTGGGGCATGCCCTTGAAGAGAATTCTAGGACCCTAAGCTTTTTCATTTGTTTTTGCTTCCCTGTCACCAGAAGTAAATTGTCTTCTTCTGCCACACACTCCCACCATGACATACTGTGTGTCAAGTCCAAACCAACACCTTCAAGTGAGTGTAAACTGAGAAGCCTCTGGAACTGTATGTCAAGATCAGCCTTTCTTCCTTATAAGTTGATTCTCTCAAGCATTTTGTCACCGTGACAGCTGACTAACCAGTAACAGTTGTCAGTTTTCTTGGTGTAAACTACCATGGCCAATTTTGAGCTACACACCTGAAGTAATTGAATATGGAATTAATGAGAGGTATAGGTAATCAAGTCTCCCAAGACAGTACAAGGCAACTCCAGCATCCTATTGCCTATTATTTACAGGACACCTTAACTGTAGAGCCAGCAAATGATCCCTCAAGACAATGGAACCTTTCTATACTGAGCTGGGTCCTGACTTACCCATCCCCTGAGGATGCCTCCAATCCAGATGTGAGACTGGTTGATCTTCCTGGCCAAGGACTGAATTTGGAAGTTGAAACTGTAGCTGTGGATGGAAGCAAGGTTGCCTCGGTAGCATCTCCTGCAGACACTCTGCAAAGGATAGAGATTTCACTCTCTTTTGCCCCAAGATCCTGAATCTCCAAGAAAGATCCCTACAACTATTCACAGACTCAATATAAGGAATCCACTTGCTTCCTTCAAGTGGATTTTGCTTATATTTTGCTTCTTTATCAGTGGTTGGGAAATGGCTCTCCTAATTATAATTACAGCCACCATTTACAGACTGTTTCACATGGTAACTCAAATGCATAGTCCCCTCTGACCTTCACTACAATTAAAAAACAGTGGTACTGACCAGCCTGATCTACAAGAGCTAGTTCCAGAACAGCCTCCAAAGCCACAGGGAAACCCTGTCTCGAACCCCACCCCACCCCAAAAGACCAAACAAACAAACAAAAACAGTGGTACCATATGGTCAGCCCTCCATTGCTGTAGGTTTCTTGCCCACATATTCAACCAACCATCCATTGAAAGTATCTGCTGTGTGTTTGTATGTGGGACTCTGGGAGGAATACATTAATGTGAATGGTGCAGATGCACACATGCAGAAGCCAGAGTAGGACACCAGGTAGGTGTCCTCTATCATGCTCTGCCTTGCTGCCTTGAGACAGGCTCTCTCACTGAAGCATGTTGCTTGAGAGAGGCTGCCTGGCCAGTGAGCTCTCAGGATCTGCCTGTCTCTGCCCCCTAGTGCTAAGATTACAGACATGCACTGCCATATCCAGATTTTTCAGCTGGTGCCAGAGATTTGAACTCAAGTCCTTATGCTTGCAGAACAAGCTCATTTACCCATAGAGACACCCCCCTGGCCCCTGAAAGTGTATATTTTTAGTTATGTTTACACTGAACAATACTCTTTCCTTTGACATTAGTCCCCAAATAATAAAAGTATAAGAACTATTCTCATGACATTTACATTGCAGTATTATAGATACTCTAGAGATGGTTTAAAGAATAGAAAAGGGGGTAATGAGATAGCTCAGTAAGTAGGTAAATGAGTTTGATCCCAGGTCATACATGCAGGAAGGAGAAAGCAAACTCCTGAAAGTTGTCTTCTGATCTATGTGCATATGTCACAATGTGTGCACCCCCACACAAACACACAATAAATAAGCATAAAAATTTAAAATACAGGAGAATGTGCAAGGATTATACGCAAATACTATGCCATTTATATGTAAGCACCTTGAACATAGGTATTGGTATCCACTGGAGGGTCCTGGGACCAATGTCCCATGGAGACTAAGGGGCAACCATATATCTTCATTTGGAAGAGCCTGATCTCTGAAAGGTATAGAGAGTCACCCAAAAAACAATAGCCAGTGAAAGAAGGCAGTATTTAACACAGGGGTTTCTTTTCTTTGTTGAGGTAAGATTACTCTTTTAAAATTTATTTCAGTATGGTTGTCCAATCTTGAGGTTTCCTAGTTAGCAAGTGCACGCATGCACGCGCGCACTCGCGCGCGCGCGCGCTCTCACACACACACACACGCAGATCCCAGAGTGACCACACAGAAGAATTAGGTGAGGTACAGAAGGATAGGTCTGTCATTTTGAGTCTTCCCTCTTATGGGAGGTTTTTTTTAATGCTCTATATGGTTTAATATGATATTTTATTTACTCTGAGATTCTCATACATTCACACAATGTGTTCTGATCATATTCATCTCCCCATTCTTTCCTCTAGCTCCTCTGAATTACACACATATCCTCTTTCCAAACTCACATCCTCTTATCAGTAATACATGACCCAGTGAGACTAATTAATGCTGCCCATACTTTCATGACAACAGTCAATCTACCAGTGGCAACACCCCTAAAGAAAACTGACTTTCTACTAGCAGCCATCAATTGCCAGTAACTCCTCATCTAAGGATGGTGTTTATTGGCACTATGGAATGTTGACTGGCTTGATCTTCTGCAGGTCTTGTGCAGGCAACCACAGATGTTGTGAGCTCATGAATGCAACAGTTCTGTCCAGAAGACACTGTTTCACTTCACCCCAATCCCTACCCCAACCTCTGACTCTTACACCTTTTCCATCTCCTCCTCCATGAAATGAAAGTATCTCTGTCACCAAAGTGTTTTTATGAAGACTGGTGGTTCTAAAAGTGCAGTCCTCAGACCAAGATCTCTATTACCCGGGGCTTTATTTCAATCCTCAGAATACATCCTTGCCCCAAGCCTCTTGATCCAAAGACTGTGAAGATAGCGCTGCCCATCCTATATCTTAACAAGACCCCCAGGCAGTTCTGCAGTTTTGAGAAATATTAGCCTAAATGAATAGAGAACAGAAGTTTTAACCCTTGACCTTTTCACATTGTCTTCCTATCACTTACCTGGGCTTTATAAAATGTCCTGGGAGTCCTCACCAGCACATAGTGGCAGCTCTTGCACCCAGGAGTTCCCTGCAAATGAGCTGTGTCCTCTTTGCTGGGGCATGTTGAGTCCTTGTCTAAGGCATCTGGGTCGGACTCCTCATCCTCAAAGGTGTCTTGATGTTCAGCACCATCAGCCTCCTCTCCCTCTGTTTGCATTGTCTTTGTCTCTTGGGTCAGAACCAAATCGCCTCCCTGGTCCCTCGAATCACCTGAATCCTGCCACAGGTCTGGCTCTTTCTTTGGGTTCTCCAGGTGGGGATGAGTAGTCTCTAGGAAGAAGAGGTAACCTGCCATCACATGAGAGGCTCTCTTCCTCCAGCACCTCGGACAGCTCCAACCATCCACTAGCGCTTTCCTAGGATCTAATCTGGAGCCACACACTAGGAAGGAACTCCTTTAGGTTGGGTAAAAAGAGATGTCTTACACCAGACTCATAGAAGAACAACAGCCTGAACATTGGCTGACATCACAGGCATGCATATGGGTGGGAAGACCTTGTGTGAGAAGCCTGGAATGATCACTGGCTAATCATTTTATGGGTGCTTTGTTTTTGTTTTGTTTTTTGTTTTTATTCGTTTCCTTCTGAAGGAGCCAATTCTGGGTCTGGGAGATGCATAACTAGAGATATGTGAGCAACCCAGAAAGAACACATTGTGACCTTGGCCCCATGATAACAGCAGCAATGACCAAAAGAGTGGGAGAGGAGAAAAGTGGGGGGGGGGGGGCATGTG